ATCACTGATGTTTCTTTGTCTCTCTCCCTCTCCCTTCCTCTCTGGAATCAGTAAAAATATATATTTTAAAAAAAAACTTCAATGCATATTCTTATTTAACAAACAGTAAACAATGTTTTGGATTTACTAAGTACTACTCTCAGACTAAGATTATAGAAGATAAATGAATCAAAAACAAACCAAAAACCTCACCAGTTAACTCACCCTTTTTAATAACTGACTTGTGAGGTTCTGTAGTGTGTTCACAGTGTATGTCTTCATGAGGTGCAAAGCTTTAGAAAGACATTGCCTAAACTTCAGTAAATATACGGGATAATCTTTAAAATTTGGCTGTAAATAAAAAGAAAAGATTTACAAAGAGGAAACAAATGTTGACAAAGCAAACTTTCAATGAAAACCAAAACGTCCTTTATGTAAAGCTATATATGAAACTCTAAAAAAGAACTTATGCAAATTAAAAGTTTCATGAAGACAAATACTGTGACTGTCTTGGTCACTGCCAAGTCCCCTGTGCCTGGCACAAATAGGGGCTCAATAAATATTAGTAGTTTTTAGCAAAATATATTTTCAGTACTCCATAGACTTCAAGGCTAATATGTCAGACTCAACTAGAAAAAGAATATGAGTTGGGAGAAATAAATACAGCTATAAATAAATCCTTGGGGAATAATATCTAGCACAACAGAAATTCACGAGCCTGAAAATTGTTCATTCTTTCAGATGGGATAAAGCTGTCAGTCAGAACCTTATTCTATCCAGTGATGGCGAACCTTTGACACGCGAACTCATCTTTTTGGTTGATTTTTCTTTGTTAAATGGCATTTAAATATATAAAATAAATATCAAAAATATAAAACTTTGTTTTACTGTGGTTGCAAATATCAAAAAATTTCTATGTGTGACACGGCACCAGAGTTAAGTTAGGGTTTTTCAAAATGCTGACACGCCGAGCTCAAAAGGTTCGCCATCACTCCAAGGGCTGCCTCAGCAGCTGAATGTACTTCTTACATCACCCTCAATAATGACTAAGAATTTACCACAGTTTTTCTTCAAGAACATTAGTGATATTTTTTCCCTTCAGAAGAAATAATTACTTTATAGCCTAAGAAGCAAATTTATAGGGTTGCTAAGGTTTCTTAAAAAAACACAGAAATAGCATAACTTACATGACATGAGATATATGTTATACAGTCATCTAACTTGGCCAGCATAGGTATAAATCCTTCACTATTCACAGACAATGTAGGAGAATTCAATTTCTTTAAGGAAAAAGAAAAGACCTTAATTAATAAAAATATATGTAGGCAAAAATTAATTTAAAAATTATGTATTAGAATTAGCATATCTCCCTTTAGTATATAACACAGTTATACTAATGTCTTTACTTTTTTTTTTTTAGTATAATTTTATTGATTTAAGAGAGGAAGGAAGAGGGAGGAAGGGAGAGGGAGAGAGAGAAACATCAATGATGACAGAGAATCATTGATCAGCTCCCTCCTGTATGCCCACAACAGGGATCAAGCCTGCAACCTGGGCATGTGCCCTGACCAGGAATCAAACTATGACCTTCTGATTCACAGATCAACATCCAACCACTGAGCCATACCAGCCGGGCACAATGTCTTTACATTCTGAGTGACCAAAATATCCTCAAATGTAGCCCACGTGTAACAATAAAGAACATCTAAAAAAGAATACTGCCCTGACCACTGTGCTCAGTCGTTAGAGAGTCAGCCCTCGCACCAAAAGGTCATGAGTTCGATTCCTGGTCAAGGGCACATACTTGGGTTGCAGGTTCAATTTCCGGCCCTGGTTGTGCTCATGGGTGTGGCAGGCAACCAATCAATGTGTCTTTCTCATATTGATGTTTCCCTCCCTTTCTCCTTAGCTCTCACTTCAGGTGAAAATTAACAAAACAAAAACAAAAAGAATATTGATTTAATTTAGTTTATTCTTAGTGAGTTTTAATGAGGCTCTTGATGAATTGGCAAATAGTTTCTATTATGCCACTGTACAATGTTATATTAAAACTAGAGGCCTGGTGCATGAATTCATGCACAAGTGGTTTCCAGCTGGCCCAGCCCCGACTGATAGAGCTGAGCCAGTAGAGGGAGGGGCCGTGGGTGGTTGGCCAGCTGGGCCTGCCCCCAATCGGGGTGGGGAGGAACTGGGGGTGGAGGCAGCCAGGGGGAGGGGCCCCGGGCAGTTGGCCAGCCGGGCGCCCCCTGGT